CTGCTGCTCCGTTTTTAATTTTATTTTTTAAGAGATGGGATCTCACTATGTTGCCCAGGTTGGACTCAAATTGCTGGGACAACCAATCCTCCCTCCTTAGCCTCCTGAGTCGCTAGGACTGTAGGCATGCAGCCTGCTGCTTCCTCTGGATACCATAGCAAGCTTTGAAATGCTAGAGAATATGCAAAATTAACAAAGAACTTTATCCCCATTTTGACAGCAGCCTTGGGAGTTGCCCATAGCTTAAAAAGAAAATACTGATCACTCTTTTTAGTTGACTTGTTTTATTAATAAAGGTAGAAGAATGTAAGACATTAAAAAGACATTCTACCACAAAGAGATTTAGTTTTGACATAATAGAAATCAATAAAATGTCCTTGTCAACTACCAACAATCAAGAGTAAGCACTCCTTAAATCCTATGTATGATCCTAAGTGCTTTCCATGCATTATTTAATTACATTCTCAAAATAACTGTGCAAATCAAGTGCAATTATTTTCCTCATTTGACAGATGAGGGAATCGTGGCTTAGAGAGTTTAATCACTCAAAAATGAGGACCCAAATTTGCAAGTGCTAAGTGCGGATCCAAAGCCTGAATTACAATGGTCATATTACTTCTCAATTCTGAGAAAACTAGTATAAAAATTCATTACTAGAATATATTTCAATAATTTTAAACAAGTTTAGTCAAAACAATGCAACCAAGATAGAGTCCTAAAATATATAAAAATGCTCTGTGTTTGTCAACCTTGAATAAGATTTTGAGCAAATATCACTATAAGCCTAAGCCATCTTAGTGATATCTTTGCAGACATGTGTATAATGTTCATGTATGCAGTGCACACATGCACAAGTGTATTCAGAGAGGCACCGAAAGAGGGAGAGAGAAGAAGAGATATTCTAAACCATTAAAAAATATATTACTGTTTTCATTATAATGACCTGAATAGGTCATCAAGGTACTGGAACCTAACTGCTGACTGCTATACCAAGAGGAAATTTATAAAGCTGCATATCTCATCTCTGCCTTCTTTCCAATTTACTCAGTATGGAAAATGATATTGGCCTTCCAAAACCTTCACTTATGTTTGGACCCTTTCCATCTTTGAGTCTTATTCTAGTGTTGCTGACCATTAAAATAAATTTTTCAGTGGGGCTAGAAAGGCCTCTTACTAGCCCAAGCAAAGCTTTATATGGCTTGTGTACTTTAAGAGGTTAATCTAGCCAGCCAACTCACTTTGTTGAGAAGTATTAAATGGAAAGGCTGTAATATTCAAAGGAAGCCAAAGTTCACTGGGTAAAACCTCAATAATATAATGAAGCATAAAACTTCTAAAAAATTTTTATCACAGTATTTTATGAAACATATGCACACACTCACTAGAATAAAATCCAAATGGTTTTGAAGGTCAGTTCAAAATCACCACATATGTAGAATCTCTGCAAGAAATATGTACCATTTCCAGAATGCCAGGAAATACGTACTATTTCCAAAACTTCCTTACCCTACTTGATAGTTTATTATCAGTCCAGCAGTAACTATATAAAAACAATAAAGTCACCTACTACAACAGTGATACTATTTTCAGCCAAAGTATGTTTAGTAAAATATTCCAAATTTTCATATCAACGCATCCTTGTGTTATAGAACAAAAGAAATTATAAAGTATAATTCTAGAAGGAAGTACTACTTTAAGTGTGAGCAATAAACATAAAAATTAAAACCAATTATGTTATTTTCAAATTCAAAACCAGTTATGTAAAGCCTTTGACGTTTGTTGTTGTGAAAGGAGGAGAAGACACTCCATTCCTACATTTTAAAGAAAAGTGAATTGGAATAGGCATGAGTAGAGCCAACTCTTAATATAATTCCATGTTTCTAAAATGCCCAAATTCTAGGAGCAACTATGATTCTCCTGAGGGGAAGGAAGTAAAGGTTCACTTTGTGTGACATAGGTCAGATTTCTGCGGCAAATGAGTTTTCTGTAGTTAACTGTTCCTGGGTTATCACTGTCTTCGGAAGGTCTTTAAAGGTCAACAGAGGTTCCAAATTGTGCTCACTGCTTAAGGGACATCCCTAGGGCTACCTCAATCATGTAAGATCATTAGGACTTTTCTAACTCTGATTTCAGTTTTACTCCATAAATGTTGCTTGCTAATACAGATTGCTGATGTAGATTTAAAAGAAACTAAAATAGTATCATACATAGATCAAATGATAGAATACACTTATTTAACAAGTCTTTTAACTCTAAAATTGAGTTCAATGAAATCCAAGCAGACAACAGAGGTTTAGAATCTGGCTCTAATAACAAAGCATCACTCTACAGAAGCTGTGCTGGTGTTTATGCTCTGTGATCAATGATACTATTCTAGATTTCATTTAGTATAATGCAGCTTTATACAAGTTATTTTAAACAGTTTACCCAATCATCATGTATGTTTTATTAAGGTAAAATTTTGTGGTTCACTTTGTTTGTAAAGACTTTTGAATCACTGAAATACAATAAATGTTGAAGTAAAAAGTATTATTTGACAACATTTCAGTGTTGTTCTTTTAGTGCAAATATATGTCTTAAGTTTTCTCACACTGGAACTGTCAAGACATCAAATGGATTATATTTATAAAAGCTGAAAGAGTTCCATCTATTTGATAATTAATAAAGGGTATCTCTAAGTATTTTAGATAGTGTGTAGAAAACATCTGTATTTAATTATATCTTACTTTTCTTAAACAGATGATGGGAATTGAATTAAGGAATATTTTGAAACCCCTACAGAGTTATTAAAAGTATTAATGGCTGTTCAAGAACTTTATTACTACAATGCTTGAAAATGTTTAGTATTACAGATCAACAGCCAGACACTTCATAAATATCATATTTTCAACATAAAAGGAAGAAACATGAAATACTGAGCAAACAGAAAAAAATACCTCTGGAAAAGAACAGGGATTTTCACTATTATTATATAGCACATAATAAGGCACAGAAAATATCTTGCACATTTGTACAGATTTAAATAGGGCTTGTAGCATATATATCCTAACCAGGATTTCTTTTTAAATTTTGTTGTGGATTGAGAATTTCTATGAGAATAAATTAACAGCTTGTTATTTATTCTTCACAGAGGAAAAACCTTAAGCTGTTCACATGGCAACAGTGGGGCACAAAGTATGGGTTTCTAGTACTTCTCCTTAAGTATTAAATATACCAGATTTTCTCTCTGTGTGCTTAATGTTCCCAAATTCCACTTCTTTTCAAAGTCAGTATCAGTTCTGCAGTCAGTTTTCAATATCCCAGTGGTAAGGATATATTCAAAGGCCGTGTGCTCAGCAGGAAAGAAGGCTTTCTCTGTGAATGTAACTGTATCATTCATCAGTAACCTCCTGCCATAAGGGGAATCCATATTTTTCTTTCCTTTTAGTAACTCCTTGGACTCTTGAATGTCAGTCACTGCCCTAAGATCTGGGTTAGTATCTACGTAACTTCAGTAACGAGCTCCTACTCATGCAACTCACAAATAAATGTCAACTCTGCAGATCAAAGTCCCCACATTCTAAAACTCATGTTCTTTATAGATCCCTTTTCATAAACTATACTCATGTTTTAGATATAACATAGAGGCTCACTTTTTGCTTTTGTTCTTTTATCATAGAAAAGTTTCTTTATAAGAAAGACATTCTGATGCAGTGCATAAAACTCAATTATCCTTGTCTTTGAACAGACTTCTATTAAAGTATTTTATAGTACTTATCATCGTTTAGTAGAAATGCAAAAATCTTTGGGCTGTTTAAATTAAAAAGCACAGGTTGTTTTGCAGTAGTTAAACATCCTTTCCTAGTGCCTGGTACAATGCAGGCTAGATGATAAGTAATAAATTCTTATTCATAATTAATTTTTAAATCTTTATAATGCTACAGGTAAATAATATGACAGAAAATAGCTTCAGCATGTGTTTTTACAATCTATATTCATTTTAATTACTCAAAATTGCTTGGGAAAATGAATATAATTATTTGAAATTATTTTCACTCAGATTTCATACATAAAATAAATAAATCTATACTTCTTCCCATAGATTTGACTCAAATACAATAGACCAAGCTATCTTATATGAATATCTTTTCAGATCAGTTGTGGAGATAAACATTTTAAAATTTACTACTGTCTCTAAAGAACTGTCTTTGGCAAACAACATGAGATTTAGAATAGAATGTACACAAATGCTATTTATATGTATATCTATTTAAGGTTTAATCATATTTATTATAGCAGTAAGAGTATATAAGACATTAAATATATACATATCAGAGTGCTCAGAAAGGAGACAAAGATGGAACAACAAATACAATCCTCAGAGCCACAGAACTGTTTACTAAATTCCAAATAAAAGCTTCATTGTGCTATTTCCCCTAGATAAATGTTAACATAACTGCATGAGATTATCAGGTATAATTTCACTCTGAGTTCTATTATAATCCATGAGATATTAGCCAAGTCACTCACTCAGAAGGTAGCTTTGGCCTTACCTGCTTTAAACACAAAAACAATTAAAATTTAAGGTCTGTAAAATATTTGTCAAAAAAAAGTTAAAGTGTATTTTTCTCATTTTTGTGGTAAATGGTTGAGGCTCGGCAGAAAAACAGGTTGATGAAAGATATTACAAAGCCCCTATCTAATGGAGAAGAGTTAGATTTTCTGATTAATCAAATTTTTATTTTTATTTATTCCCAATAAGAAAATAATTTGGCTAAAATTCAAATATGATAAACTTTTAAAATGAAAAAGATATTCTGATTACGTTGTGAATCAATGGATGTGGAAATAAGCAGGGTGTGTGTATGCATGTGCATGTGAGCATGTTTGTTTATGCTGGGGTCAGGGTGGAGATGTACATTATCTATGACTCAAATCCTTTGACTTTCCTCTAGAGGTGTGGCAAAATGAAACTTACAGGTGTGTTACAGAAGAGCAGAGTTCTTGTTAAACCAACTTACCAGTTTTTCGAAGAGGGAAATCATCCTTTGCATCTTGTGCTCCTGGTAATGTGTACTTGTAGGATGGAGATGTTCCACTAAGGGGTGGAGAGCTTTGATCCAGTGATGTGTGGTGGGCAGCCCTAGAAAAGACAAGGGAGTTTCACTATTTACTCAATATGTTTTACTGCCTGTTGGTCAGGAATTATCAACTGCATATGCTGTACAGGTGCCTCAGCTATGTTTTTGCTCTTTCTCCTTCGTGTATACGAACCACAGCCTCACGTACTTCATTAAAAAAAACTGCTAGATAGTACATGTGAGTACACGTGTGTAGCCTTTTTTACTGAAAAGACAGGATTGTGCCAACAGGCTCACATCTGACTTCAACAGTAGTTTCAATAGTAAAGAATTGGGGATCATATTCTTTAATATGAAACTGATTTAAAAAATGTTTTCTTTTTCCTGGGTGAATACAATTTAAGAGATGCAACTGTGCTGCCAGAGAACAGTTTATAGAACTAAATATTGACTAATATATATAAATATCTATAAATATGAAATGAAAACAATGAACAAGACATAGTATCACCATCACAATGATTGTTCTACCAGTATTATTTATTTAAATCATACATTCTTAAGACTTTATTGGTTTAAGGATGTTTCATCTAGCTATAACTGCCAAAAATATTGCTAACTAACATGTGAGAGCTGTTTAGTATTACCTAAGCAAACAGCCAATGAACTTTTAACTAACAAATTATTTGCATGTAGTTGTTTCTCATTTTAAAATGGTATTATCTTTTCTTAGAACAGACTTTAATTTTGAATTATAAATTAGTTATAAATTATGTGTGTAGTTTTAGGTAACAAAATGGTGTTTCTTTTTAAGTCATTTGTGATATTCATTAAATATTTGGAATTGTTCTTCAGAGATCCATTTCTCATGTCAACCAACATCCATGACAGAAATTATGAAAATCATTAAAAAGTATTTATAAAACATTATGGAATCTGTTTGTTACCTGTTTTTGGATACAGAGAAGGGCAGATACCTATAAAATGGGCTTTTAAGTATATTAACTCTTTAAATAGAACTCCCAGGCTGCTTACAATATCAAGTACTATTCCTATCTTTAATGGTGTGAGGGATTGAAAAATACTTAAGTGTAAAAGTCTATGGTCATTTTCTAATACTTTTACGAGAGAAATGAAACTATTATCTATTATCCATATATGATTTGCCTGTCTGTTCTTTGCCCTGAGTTTTGTTTTGTTTTTAGAGACAGTCTCACTCTGTAGCCAGGCTGGAGTGCAGTGGCATGCTCTTATCTCACTGCAACCTCCATTTCCTGGGTTCAAGCAATTCTCCTGCCTCAGCCTCCCGAGTAGCTGGGACTACAGGCACGCAACACCACACCCAGCTAATTTTTGTATTTTTAGTAGAAACGGGGTTTCACCATGTTGGCCAGGATGGTCTCAATCTCTTGACCTTGTGATACGCCCGCCTCAGCCTCCCAAAGTGCTGGGATTACAGGCATGAGCCACTGTTCCCGGCTGCCCTGAGTTTTAAAATCACCATATCCTCCATATTTTATTGAAATATTTGTGTATTGGACTTGTGGAAATATGGTTCATAAAAACCATAATACCACAGTGTTTTATGTTGTCAGCTTGTGTCAGAAGCCAAGCTATTATTTTTCTGGCTGGGAAGAAGTGAGGTGAGGTGGGCAGGGGCAAAATTTTCACGGAAAACTTGAGTTACGTATTTAGCAACCTGTTTTCTTCCCTTCCCTACCCTCCCTTATCTTTTTTCTTCCTTCCTTTTTTCTTTGAGACAAAATTCTACTAGTCTTTAGAAAACAGCTCTGACCTCCGTCTTATACCAAGTCAAGTGTAATAAAATAACAACCTGCTAAATCTTCTGAAATTACTATATAGATATCAGATCCACCAGATGAAAATGGAAAATGCAATTTGTTAGTTATTCACTCATCAAAGAACATATACTTCCTTGCCCTCAAGATGATAAACGCGACCATTTATTTAGCACTTCTTTCTGTTTTGTACTTTACCATGTTATTCCATAAGACCATCCCAGCAACTCCAGAGGGCAGGCACTATTATTTTCTTTTTCTTATGGAGAAGGAAACTGATTCCTAGAGAATTCGAGGAACTTGCCCACAGCCAGACAGCTGAGAAATGGCAGGCTAAGGATTTGTACCCAGGTTGGCTAACTACAGAACCTGTGTTCTTTACCCCAGGAATGAAAACAGCCAAACACTGAACATACGTGTACCAGAGCTTGGGATGGCGGCTCACGGAATGATTTTTTCCATTAGTTGGAGTGTCTTTCGTTGCTGATTTACTCAATAGGAATTCTTGAAGCTTCTGCTTTACTTCTGTACTTGCCACTGCCCCTGAAATACACACATGCACGTGCGTGCGTGCACACACACAAACACACACACACACAGACAGAAACAGATGTTGATAGTAAGTTTTGTCCTCTCATGACTCTAGAATATTTAACAAAGATTAAGAAGTAAAATCGCTGGTCATAGCATATAAAGTTTTCCTATTAAAAGAAGAAACCACAGTCCAAAAATGCTTTAGAAAATAATACAGTAATACTTTATAACTACTGCTTAAACTGCAAATTTTTGAAAGACTTTCAATGATTTCTTTAATTACTTTTACAAAAAGGGAATTCCGAAAATCAATTTTTTTAAAGTTTAAAAAATACTGCACAGGAACAAAACACTGTATTTGAATTACCATGCTATCCTAAGGGATTAGATTCATATTAAATCCCTTATACACATTAAAATAATCTTTTCTGAGTGACTAGCTTGAAACCTTAGTTAAAAAAAAAAAACCCTTTGAGTATTAAGCAAATAAATATTGCTGACAATTCCAGCTCAAGTCATCAAATTTTAAACCTTGCTACGACCTGATTTTGAACTGACCTTATACAGGAGAATTATTTGGATCTGTCTCCCTCTTGTGGATAGTTCTTTTGCAAGTCTTATGCCTTAAATCTTCTCAAAGTTTGAGTATGCCAAAACTAAATGGAGGCAAGGCTTTACTTAGAGAGCAATTATTACTTGTCCAGTAGTAAGGAAGGCATAGTCAGGAGATGTGGATACAAGCTGATTATTAAACAGGATTGCATATACTAGACTGCTTTAGCATGACATTATTTTTAAGGTTGAAAGCAATAGAAATTAGCATCTTTGGCACATAATGCTATGTTTGTTTCTTGAAAAGCTCTGCAGACTCGATGTGAGCTGGTATGTGAATGTCAAAACTTTACAGTTGGGTCTGTTACTTATGTTTTTAATTAAACACAGACAATTTTGACGAGTCAAACTGCCCTCTTTATCAGGCTTTGCTCTGAATAATGATCAGCTAACGATGAGGAAAGAGAGTCCATCGTTTACCCTGGTGCCTCTTACTTTCTCGTCCTCTATCTTTGCCTCTGAGAGGAGGAAGCTGCTGTTCTCTGCGATGCCTCTCTACTTCCTGTTCTTGCCTCTGCTGCTCCAGTTTCTGCTCCTTTTCTAGGAGTTCTTGTTGCTGTTTTATGGCTAGAAGTTCCTGTTGCAACTTGCGAGAAGAGAAAGACATGAGAGTGTGCAATTTCTTTAAGCTTCATAGTCATCATTGACCAAAACTGAAATGTTATAAGCTTTTGGAACTTGTTTGTATTTAGTTCGTTTTGCCCCCACTTTTTCTGTAAATAATTGGAATCTAAGGACAAGTAACTAATGCAGTGAAGGCCTTAACATCATCAACAGGCAAGTTTTAAGCAGCTCCATTATCTTTGCATTCCTATCAAAACTTACTACTAAATTTACACAGGTCTTCTAATTTCCTTTATTTAAATCTTTAGTTCTCTTAATGGCTTTTCTTTGAACATATAAAATATATGAAACAGGAAGGGTAGGGACTGCCCAGAAGTCTATTTTACAAAGTCCCTCACATTATAAATAAACAACTGAAATCTTCCATTCGTAGCCTGAGAAATGGTGTAAAAATAATCAAAGCGAATACAGAATGGTGAAATGTAAGTTAATTTGGGGAAAGTATACCTGAAGTAAACGAATGCCAAAAATCTCAAAACTTTATAGAGCAAGCTCTCAATAGACAATGGATTGTGTATTTTTACAATACACAGAATGTTTTATATATATATATATATATATATATATATATATATATATATTCTCTCAAAATAGCAAAATAGCAAAATCTTTATTCTTTCATTCAGCACATAAAAGCCTTTAGATTAGAGACACTCATTAAGAAGAAACAACTTCCTCAAAACTTCATTTTAATATACTATTCTTTAGCTTTCTGAATCCCTTGAATTCACTTTCAAACAATGAATGATGCAAATACGATGCATTCTTGCACTCTTTATTATTATTATTTTTGAGACAGGGTCTCACTCTGTCACCCAGGCTGGATTGCAGTGGCACCATTACAGCTCACTGCAACCTCAACCTCCTGGGCTCAAGCAATCCCCCCACCTTAGCCTTCTAAGTGGCTAGGATTACAGGCATATACCACTACTCCCAACTAAAAATTTTTTTAATTATTATTTTTAGTGGAGACAAAGTCTTGCTATGTTCCCCAGGCTAGTTTCAAATTCCTGGCCTCAAGCGATCCTCTGATTTGGCCTCCCAAAGTACCAAGATTACGGGTATAAGCGACCTTGCCCAGCCTGAAGCATTCTTTTTTAATAGCTATTTTGAGATGTCCATTTCCTTTCAGACTGAGAAATATATATCTATTAACTATAGTAAATGTGCTCACTGATGAGTAATTAAAGACCTTGATTTCTACTTAGATTCTGACATTAGTAAATAGGAAATCTGGACAAGTTACTAAACTACTTGGAGCCACAGTTCCTAATATATGAGAGAGAGAATAATCTCTCTTTGGCCACATATTCATAAAGCCATAAAATTTAGTTTTCAAGTTTGAACCCCACTGATTTTAATTATTAATATTATTATTATTATTATTATCACAGGTTGAGCATCCCTAATCTAAAAATCCCAAATCCTAAATGCTACAACATCTCACATAGTTTGAACACTGACATGATGCCACAAGTGTAAAATTCCATACCTGACCCCATGTGATGATTTCCAGTCAAAACGCAGGCACACAATGCAAAGTTTAGTTAACCTCACCAAGGGAAGAAAGATCCTTCCAGCCCCCTTTTAGCCGCAATGTATTTTTTTCACACACCCCCAATTCTCCCACGTAAGCACACCCACAAAAGGTAACAAAATGGCATGTGTGTGGGCCAGACATGCCAATGGCATGTTTTTCACATTCAGACACAGCAATGATAGTGACGCCAAACAAGCACAAATTGTCCACATGGGTGGCTGAGACTGTGACAGTTTTCTTTTCTGATGGTTCAACGTGCCTTTGTTTAAAGCACAAAACTATTATTGCATAAAATTACCTTCAGCCTATGTGTATAAGATGTATATAAAATATAAAGGAATTTTATATTTTGACTTGAGTCCCATCTCCAAAATATCTCATTATGTACAGATATGTAAATATTCCAAAATCCAGAAAAAAAATCCAAAATATGATATACTTCTGGTCCCAGGTATTTCAGATAAGGGATACTTAACATGTGTTTGTAATTTTCAGTACTAATACAGTTAGTAAACTTTGTTTTTTACATTAGATAGGTGCCTAAAACTCTTGATTTTATACCAAAAAGTAGTAGAACAAAAATAAAAAGCTATTATATAGAATGATATCAGAGTTACTCTTGAGCAAAAGGAAGCTAACTCTGCACGTCAACTATAGCAGCCTTATTACTCTCAGAGGACATAGTTAGAAGCATTTCTGGCTATTCTTCATATTAAAATCTTTGGTGTTTTGGCTTCAATACACCAGTCCCTTAATGGGTGTTATTCCATTGTAACAAAATAATATTGTAGCAGGAGGAATGCTTAAACTCTGCCTTACTGTTAAATTCTATACAGATACTTGAGTTGGTCAAAAAAATTTGGTGCTTCACTCAATGCCCCAATATATTTGAACTTTAATATTTCATAGGAATCTAGAAAAGCACACGATTTAATTACCAAGCTACTATTCATTATCAAAGAGTGCATGAATTAGGTTTAAAACAATAGAAAGAAATAAAACTTTAGCCCTCTATTTCTACATGTTCTGGCCCACGAGAGAGGCATGGCAATTTAAGAGCTTTGGAGGCAGACAGGACAAGACTGTAAATCTTGGAGCAACCACTTACTGGCTGTGTAACCTTGGAAAGGTAACATTATTGCCTCTACCTCAGTTTACTAGGTGGAAAAATGGGATAACAGAATCTAACTCAACAAATGTTGATTATTACAGAAGCCAAAGATTCAAAAAGCTAATATAACTAAAGCATTGTGCACTGTATCTTCCCCATAAAAATCTTAATGAAAAGCATCAACTTTTAGCTTTATCCATAAAAAATACAACAAAACAAAACAAAATAAAAATTTTTTAAAACAATAAACTTCCTAATCTGAAAAGGACATTTTAATTATTTCTTCAGTTTGTAAGAAAACAACGTAATTATTTTGTAAAATCATTTAAAAAGCTCAATTTTCCTTTTAGCTATCTCACAATCCTTTTTTCTCACAGGAGCCACTTTTACGACATTTTCCAGATGTCAATAAACCTACACTAGTTTTGTTTGTGACAAATGAACAATTAATTATCTACTTGCTACTATTATCTTTTGAGTAAAATTAAGCAAAACATTTCTTTCTAAACAATTTATATTGATTTTATAGCTATAAAAGACATCAACAGAAATGAAAAGAAGCATCTAAAGAAGTAACTTATCAGTATTGCCCTGTATTTAGGGAACATGACTCACATAAAGCAGCAAAATGAACTACACAGTTCCTCAGATCTTAAAGTATGGTGAAAAACGTAAAGTTTACTCACTCCTCTTTGCCATCCCAACATGCTGAGGGGAAACAACCAGATCTAGACATTACTGTTTCTATTATTGTTTCAAAGGTAAAACTGAAATAATGCTTCAGCATTTATTTAAAAATAAGTCTCAAAACTAAAGAAAGGCTATCTTATTTCAAAATGTAGCCATGAGCTACTGATTCCATTTGGGACAAAGAAAAATACTCCTATTTTAAGGCATTTTATAGATTAATAATATGCAGGAGTTCTTTTAGGGAAGTTCACTAGTAAAGAAAAAATTAGATTTTATATTACATGTCAAAGAGCCTTTTTAGGAATATAAGATAGTAAGTGCCTTCCAAGATTACAAAACATCTTATAAACCAAGTAATATAGAGATGAAGATAGCAGTTTTACCTTCTTAGAAACTGTCATATTAATGTGATACAATTACGTTCTATTAACATTAGTTATCTATATTAATTCTATATTGATGTGTTTGTATTTGATATTTAACTAATAAATTAAGTTCCTATAATACAAAACAGTAAAGTATGATATAACAGAACTTATTTCATTCATAAATTAGCAAATATTTGTCATCTTTGAAAGAGTTGGATATAAAAATAAAATTTTTATTGTAAATCTACTGCTTTTATCTTACTTTCATAATAAATTTAAATTAAATATCTACTTAGACTAAAATGGCCTTGTTTCAACTGTCTTTGTCAAAAAGTTGCAAGGTATTTTACAAATAAAATGAAACTAATATTTATCTCTGAGGATACAAAAGAAAAAATAAAAACAGACATCCAGAATTATCTGATAATAAAATGAGCTTTCATTAAAAAAAATTCTGGATAATGGATATACTTGAGCTAGACTAATTTAAACAACTTTAGTCTCAAAATGTCAACTACTCCCAAATATTTTCAATAAATTCTTATATACAGACTATAAAAATATTTGTACCAATTTCTTCATTTATAACTCCCTTAATCTTTGTATTATACTATTATTTTGAATGTATACATTATGAGTTTTTTTCTATAAGGAAGATAAGGACATACTCAGAACATCTACTTATACATCATATTTTTTTTTCCAAAAACAGCTCTCTTCATATAAGAGACTAATTTATCCTTTGTCACAAATAGTATCTATAGACTCTTCAGAGATATAAAATGGGTCTTCTGGGCTCATGCTTCTTTCTGGTGGAGAGCAATGGGGCAAATGAATAAAATCATGTAGGAGAAAATCTAAAATTAGGATGGAACGTTACTATTCCCTACTATTGATTCCAGGTACTGAGGATAAAGAAGGCCCTTCTAAGAAGCAAAACAGGTTTTTAACAGGTACTTACCCCAAATTTTCACTAGTAAAATCACAATTCCCTTCAAGCCATATATCCATGTCCTAATCACAGTGAATCTACCCACAAAGTGTTCCTATGGGCAATGCCTATGCCCACCATGGTGCGGACTGCTGAGTAAGGTCACAGACAAAGAAGTATTTGCTACCTTGATATGTTCCTGAAGCTGAGCCTGGTGCTGCCGTGTCAAGTTCTCATGCTGTTTCTGAAACTCTGCTATCAGGAGCTGCTTCTGGATTTGTTGCTGCTGCTGGATAAGAAGTAATTCCTGCTGCAATTGCTTCTCACGGACAACAGGGTCCACCACAGGCATCATCATCCTTAGGTCTGTCCTTAGGTCTAAAGGTGAAATGGGCTCCAGGCCCACAGGAACTTCTGACTTCACATCCACTAAAGAACCAGAAAAAAAAGGAAACTGGTTGGGGAGGGTAATAGAGGACTGGAAATTAGCACATTGATTTGGAAACAAAAAGTTTAAGACATTATACCATGTCAGTGATTCTAGTCATTCTTTACAGTGAGGTACATTAGTTTTGATAAATGGGCCATATAATTTTCATTCAGTAATTTGTACTCTGCCATGAATCTTCCACAATTCCTTTTTACAAACAGATGACTGCAACTGTTCATTGGTATCAGTCATTCATAAAACTTACTCTACTGAACCACTAACAAAAATTAAGTCAACAAAGACAAAAAAAAAAAAAAAAATTGGATTTGAGAGAAAGATGTCCTAAGAGAGAACTTCCACTATGGCTAAATTTGTACACTTAACATCTTCCTTTGTGATAAGAGTCAGAAGGTATCTTCAACTTTACAAAGTAAAGCTTGTAAGATAATGTATTTGCAGCATTATTGGATGTGCCAAAGACAGAATACAAAACTGCACACTAAAATGTGGAAAATGGTGATTAACCACAACCATGGTTGCCAGATCCAAACATTCAAAGAGTGAAAGTAGCCAAGTTTCTAAGTGTTGATGTTCAAATAGTAATAATCTGTATCTCAGTTACCTCATTCCTAAAACATACTGGAAAAAGTATAAGGAAATTTAAAACAAGTATTTAATCAAACTATTGGAGTAAAAAAGATTTGATGATCTGAGAATAACCAGAGATGATAATATTTAAATTTATACAAATTAGATAAAAAGTAGATATAAAAACACTTAGTTTTTGCTAAGAATTTTATATCTATCATCTATTTTTAATAGTTTTTGCTTTAGTACAGTGGTACAATCATAGTTCACTGCAGCCTAGAACTTCTTGACCCAAGGGCTCCTTCTGCCTCAGCCTCCCAAATATCTGGGACTTCAGGTGCATATCACCATGACCAGCTATATTTGTTTTTCTTATTTTTTTCATAAAGCTGGCATCAGCACAATGGGAGATACGATGGTATCTTACTATGTTGCCAAGGCTAGTCTTGAATACCTGGCCTCAAGTGATCCTCCCAAGTTCTGAGATTTAGGCATGGGTCACAGCACCAGGCTCTTCAAAAGCTTCAAACACTCCAGCAACCAAAAAAATGCTTCAATGTTTACATGTACCAATTTGCAAATTCTGCTCTATAATCTAAATGCTTATTTCATTCTTTGATTTGTATAACCTGGAAGATGTTATTAACTTCCCCAGGCCTCTGTTCCCTCATCTGTAACGTGGAGATAATAACAGTAAGTACTAACGGCACGTAGCACATCCCTTAACGGATGCTTTGTTTTTGCTTTTTTATTATATAAAACTGGAAATTTCTCATATATTAAAATAAACCATTAATAAGTAGCTAACAAAACAAAAATATTAGGAATATAACAATAGAATGGCATGTAATTTCTACTAAATATCAGCAAATAAAAGCAGTAAAATGTCTAGATCAAAACAAATAATACAACTGAAAATCACCTTCACTAGTAAAGAATTGCAAATTATAAACCAAAATAGAGCATCATTAATTATCATATGTATGACTCATGTATATACAAGTTTGTACAGTGCCCCATTGTATAGGCTAAGCATATGATCAAAGACATAATTATTTATTGCAAGTGGAGCTGTCAATTGGTACAAAACTTATGCAAAACCAATTTGGTGATATGTATCAAGAGGTGTTACATATTTCTCCCATTTAATTCAGGTTTGTCAACTCTAGGATTATATCTCCAGGAAATAATACTGAATAGAAAAAAAAAAAGTTCAATGTCATATTATTTACCAGGTTTCTATTATTATTACTGAAATCATCAACTACAAGGAAATAAGGGAATGTGTTCTCTTTCCAGGTCCATGAGAGGATGTAGTTTTAAGGGCAAGAATTTCCCAGCACCATGCCCCACTCCCATCTCTCTCCATGCGGGAGTTTTAATGTTTTATGATCAAACTTAGTGGACGCAGGAAGAAACTAAAAGTCAATCACTCCAGGGGAAGTTCTAAGGAACTCCTTTCATTGGCCAGAGGCACTTGGGAAGGTGGGAATTTCTCCCAGGATAAATTCCTCTGTTCCTTCACCCATGCCAGATTTCCAGCTTTCTGGAATCCCTTCCCACAGGGTGGAAGCTCCCTTTCCCTTCTGGGATTTTCCCCTCTGGAATCCCCTTCCACACTCTTCGTGGAAGCCTTTCTCTTCTCCTTTCCTTCTCTCTTCTCTACCTAAATAAAATCACCCTTCTGCAACACCTCTTGGGTCCAACATTTACTTTTATGAGCATATGGTCCACCTGCAGTGGCCCCACCGCTTAAACCAGTTAGGAACAGAACAAGGACTTCCCCTGGGGTGCTCGCAGGCCGGCCGCAGGTCCCTGTGTGGGGAGGGCTCAGGGAGTGGCCCAGGGCACTCATATGGTCCTGGCAACATGGAGGCAGGGGGAGTGGCCCAGGGCATGCATATAGTCCCAGCAACATGGCCGGCCACAGGTCCCCAAGCAGGGGCATGGCAAACTTTCTTCTCCAGCAGGAGGTGAGGCACAAAGGCACTCAGAATGGGCAGGCAGCTGCAGCGGCCCAGCGTGCTTTAAATTGTGTGCTCTAATAACTCCTCCCTAAAAGTTTACCCTTCTAGGGCAGTTTTATAAATTGGCCTGCAAATTGGACCTTTGCTAGAAATATTGGTACCCATCTCCTGACCCTCACTAGCCTCATGGGAGCTCGTTGGAATGTTTACCACCTAACCCAATAGCTTACTTTGTTCCATGCCTCTATGGTGGTCACTAAAGGTCATGGGAGGCCATGGGCGTAAGTCCATAATGCTGGTAGGTCTAATTGGAACCCCGTTCAAGGAGAGTCCTCTAATAAGATGAATCACACATCTTGGGCATACAAAATTTCGGGGTACTGACTGAAAACGTTTATTTCACTACCCATTTTACCTGGGAGACGCCTCAGGTCAGAGCGGCTGTAATTTTTTAACTGGGAATGCAGGCATCCCTTGTGTTCAATTTCAAATGGGTGCTTCTTTTCCCAAGCTCAAGTCTCCATTAAAATGTATACTGGAAAATTGAAACCAATTTAACACACAACTTTTAAAGAGGAAGTGGCTCATCTTTCTCTGCGGAACAAAGTGGTCAAAACCCTGCTGAGTGAGAAAACCTAACCTCCAAAGGGAAGGGAAAAAAACCCAAGAGGCTTCCTTAAGCAATTTTGAGAGGCTTTAAGAAAGTACACTCCCGGCCGGGCGCGGTGGCTCAAGCCTGTAATCCCAGCACTTTGGGAGGCCGAGGCGGGTGGATCACGAGGTCAAGAGATCGAGACCATCCTGGTCAACATGGTGAAACCCCGTCTCTACTAAAAATACAAAAAATTAGCTGGGCATGGTGGCGCGTGCCTATAATCTCAGCTACTCAAGGGGCTGAGGCAGGAGAATTGCCTGAACCCAGGAGGCGGAGGTTGCGGTGAGCCGAGATCGTGCCATTGCACTCCAGCCTGGGTAACAAGAGTGAAACTCCGTCTCAAAAAAAAAAAAAAAAGAAAGAAAGAAAGTACACTCCCCTGTCACCAGACTCTATTAAGGGTCAGTTAATACTAAAGGACAAGTTTATTACTCAGTCAGCAGCAGATATCAAGAGAAAGTTTCAGAAGCTGGCCTTAGGACCAAAGCAGAGCCTCAAATCATTGCTGAACCAGGCAACCCTGGTGTTTTATAATAAAAACCAAGATAAACAAGCCAAAAGAATCAGGAGAAATCAGAAAAAGGCTGCTGCCTTAGTTATGGCCTTCAGGCAAGCAGACCCCAGGGGCTCAAACGAGGGAAAGTGCTGGGTTAGCTGCCAGGCTGGCAGAACTTGTTACCAGTATGGTCTGAAGGGACATGTTGTAAAAACCTGTGCCCAGAGGAATAAACCACTACCTCATCCATGGCCACTTGTGCCAAGGCAATCACTGGAAAGCACACTGTCCCTAGAAAACAAGGTCCCCTGGGCCTGAGGTGTCTAACCAGATAACCCAATGGCAGGATTAAGAATGCCTGTAATACGTGCCAGCCCAACCCATCACCCTCACAAAGCCCCAGGCAATGCTAGCCATAAAGGTCCGGGAAGCCAATCTTCTCCTGGGTGCTGGCACGGCCTTCTCAGTATTTCTTTCCTGCCCTGGAAACTTGGTGCTGGTATTAGAAAAATTACTACCTCTATTCAGTTACTATAATCTATCTCAGAAATAAATTAACAAAAAAATATTGCTAATTCTCTCTGCAAAAAGCAGCTCTCTCACTGCAAACCAGCTTAACTCTTTAGCTGCCATAGCTTTAAAAATAAAAGGGCCCTAAATCTGCTAACAACAGAGATGAGGGAAACCTGTTTCTTTCTAGAGAAAATGCTGGCATTTTGTAAGCTAGTTAAATGTTGTTTTAAGCATAAAACTCACGAATCAATCAAAAACAGGGCTTAAAAACCTTCAAGAATGTGGCTCTGTTCTCTCCTAGGCTCGTTTATAACTCTGGGCCTCTCATCTCTAACCACCTGGTCATATTCATTTCTTATAAAACCATAAGATCACAATTAATCCTGTTGCTGGAACCCTGGATGTCCTTAGCTAGTAAGCTCTATTGTGAACCTGTAAATCAACCTGTACCCCTAAAAGGCTCCCCTCTGAAAAAAAAAAACTCAACTGCAGGGGCCCTTCTATGCCCCATTTCAGCCAAAAGTAGTTAAAGAAAATCAACGCCCCTATTTCAACAGAAGTTGAATTTTCCTGTTCAGAGTGGGGAATGAGAAAATATGTTCTCTTTCCGGGTCCATGAAGGGGCGTAGTTTTAAGGGCAAGAATTTCCCAGCGCCATGCCCCTCTCCCATCTCTCATGCCCCCCTCCCATCTCTCTCCATCCGGGAGTTTTAATGGTTTATGTTTAAATTTCACAGGCATAGGAAGAAACTAAAAGTCAATCACTCCAGTGGAAGTTCT